TAAGCAAATGCAATACACTGCCTTTGTAAATACTTGTAGACAAATAAAAATATCCATCAACTAATCTTGATGTTGATTGTATTAATCAGGCTTAATTGTGGCTGGAAAATGGCATAAATGTTATGCCTATGACTTTTTCTATGAAGGAAACACTACTAGTCTCGATGAATCTATTGATAAGGTTTGTATCAATCAAATGTTATTCATTTCTTATCGGTTTTTGTTTCACTGATAAATTAATTAAACAGAATTATGATTTTCAAATTATTTATCATATGCGTAGGCAATAAATATTCTAGCGTTTGTAGAAAGTTCAAAATTTTGTGACGCATGTCCATCCGAAAAAAAAGTCTGCGTGGAAACATTAAACGGAGGTTAAACAATTTTCTTTTCCTTTCTCCTTTGAAAAATTAAATTTGATTAGTATTTTGCCCATCTTTAAATTATTTTTCTAATGTGTTGGTTTTTGTTACTTATAGATCAACATTTTATTAGGAGAAACTCCATGTTTGGATTCTCAGAGAAGCAATAAGAGAGGTGAATTTTTTTCCATTTTTCGAAATCGATATTTTTATGTTTTTAAATACATATTTAAATACATTACATTTTTTCTAATACTATTTTCTAACATATTTTTCCGACATTACATTTTTTTAATAAGTCCAAATGCCTTCTTAATCTCTCATATCTAGTTTACCATAACATTTAAATTTTTTCTCCAAAATTAATCTTAACTTCAATAAACAAAAGTTTGAAAATACCAAGAGTATTTTTTATGAAAATATAATTGTGAATCTTTATCAAAAGGAATTCAAAGAAGTTGGTTTGTTCTTAAAGGGAGTATTTAAACAAATTATATGTCTGCAAAACCAAAGAAGAATAAATACAAGGATAAAATAAAGATTTATCATGATTAGTGTATTTATGTGTTTTCTAAGGATTTAAAACTTTTGTTAGAGTTTCTTCTTTTAGGTGAGTTACTTCGTTTCAAATATTTTTCTTTAGAACTTTGAAAAAAATGTAATATTTTGCCTTTTATAAATATGTTTATTTTTTATAATTTCTTTCTTATTATTTAAAAGAAAATATTTTCTTAGATATCTTATGTGTAAAAGATGAAAATATCTCATATGTTTAAAATGAAGATTTCTAGTATAAAGAACATCAAAATTTAAAATTTGTAAAAAGAAGTTGACAGACATATATAACATTTATATTAACTTGATGAACGCTTTAGATAATGAAAATATGCATCAATTGATTTTTGTGTTGATTATAATTATTAGGATTTTTGGTGGCTCAGAAAATGGCTTGAGAACTGCACCTTTGACTATTGCTACTGGGGAATGGTTGGAAATTTCAATGTGACAAGGTTTTCATCAATCAAATGTTATTGATTCATCTTACGCCACAATCCGGGTTGACAAATTTTTTAATCCAAATTTCAAAACCCACACATAATCCATTTAACCAACCTGATTTACCCATAAAGTAACTCCCTGAAATCCTAAAGAAAAAGCCCTACTCCTTACTTTCGTTCATCTCACAAACGAAAATCCTAGTTCATCGGACGTAAACTACTCGCTTGTCTTCGTTATTCTTGGTGGATTCACTCAGATCCGGTCATAGGTACTTACACTTTTACTATGTTCGTCTACGAGGTCTTTGCTAGTTTCGTGGCTTGTTGAAAAATTTAAGTCTGACTTATGTGACTTAATAACTAACTAATGTAACTTGCTTATATACCTTACTAACTTTGTGACTGACTCATGCTTACTAATATGTCCAACTGAGTTACTTGTTAAATTATTTAAGACTTAAATTGTTACATTCCGTCTTAGAAATAGTTAGATTTATTAGAAAGAACTAATTTGGAAAAGCTAAATTGACAATTTTGCAAGTTATGCTTGAATTGTAAATTTTGGGTCAACTTCAAACGACCATAACTTTTGGTACATGATGAGTTAGGTGGACAAAAGATATAAAATGAAATGTATTTAAATCCTCTTTCGAAGGCCACCGAGTTGGCTAAGTTTCTAGTTTTGAATGAGGGATATATGCATGTTTAAAGTTAGTCTGTTCAGTTAAGGAAAGTTATCCAAATTTATGAAGGGTATCTTGGTCTTTTCCTTACCCCTTCAACTTATAACTTTTTAGTAATTAATTAGCGGGTCTAAACTGATTTGGTTCAGTTTACACAATCTTAAATTACGCTGGGATTTTAGAATAAGGAGTTCAATAAGAGAAAAGTCAACGCGTTCTTGGATATTTCTTGCGGAATTAAAGGTCGTTTCGCCAAGGGTTGATCCCTAAAGAGGTATGTGAGTTCACATGACATTGGGTTCGTTTACCCACACGCAAATGATGATTGTTTCAGCTTAATTTCTTTCACCTAGGCGCAAAGGATTTGAGTTCTTCATGAGTTTCAGTGAAGTTTTTTTCATAATCTTGGTTGTTGAGGTTTTAATAAGTTATTGAGATAACCGTATGAGTTTCTAAGGTTATTTTTAGTAGATTATTATTTACTGTTGTTGGGTATTCGATTCGAAGTTATTAGGGAAGAAACAATTCGATCCTAGGCAATTATGGTTAATAATGAGGAAGGAAAAAGTCGGGCAAAATGTGGCACGCAAGTCCGCGTTGCAAACTTGCCCGGTGAAAAACATATGCAGAGAGGGCTGGCCTCCACTTTTTAAAAATTATTTCACAACCAAATATTTAAATTCATCTCGACGTTGTGGACTTGCTCCCCCTAGCAATGTTTTTCGATCATTTCTCATGATTAACTATCTAAAATCACTTTTAATCATCATGATATCCTTCCTATCACAAATCATAACCTTGAATTCATTATTCAAATTCAGCGTAGAGTTAAGAGTCAAGTCTTGAGAATTTTTTGAGTTAAGAAGACTTTTACAGATCTTCTAAACTTGTTTAATACTTAAGCATTGATTTTAAGGAAGAGTAGTGTTGAGTTAATTTTAAAAAAATGATATATGGGACCTAAGTATTTCAAAATAGCAAATGTTTCCAAATTCAAGATGTGAGGAAACACCGACTTCCAAAAGAGTTCTCATGAGCCGTTCTGAGTACCATCTCTTTTAAAAGATAGATTTTTGAGTAATAATCTCAAACCATAGAGGAAGTCATGTTCTGAAAAATACACTACATAAAAAATGATAATTAGCGGTAATTAATTCTTAATTATCGTTAAATATGTATTTTTAGCGGCAATTAACACTTTTTGTATATGTCCCTAAAGCCTTTAGCGACACTGATTTTAATGGCACTTAAGTAATGCCGGTAAAAATGTTAGCACTCTTTATTAACGTCAATATTTATTGATGCTAAGGTTTTTTTTGTTGTAGTGATTACATTTTAAAAGTAGTATTGAGTATCAATATGGAGACGATTTCAGATAACTCAAAGTCTCCATAAACCATGTAACCAACGTAGGTAGAAGCCATACGTTTTAGATAATTCATTAATGATTTTTGGCATTGACTAGTGGATTTACATAGTGAGTAGTCCTATACCCCGGCAAAGTATTGGATAATTCTTCCAGGTATATGACAGGTAACCAGGATCAACATGTAGCTCTTCGCTGATCCTGTTGAGCTTCAGAGTTATTGGTGAGCCTTCTCGCTTTCCTAAGGATCCCTATTTGTTATGTTTCAGTTATTACAGTTTCTAGGATGATCGGGAGTCTTTTCCCGATATCTCTCATATTATTAGGGGCTTTATAGATAGATAGACAATAGTTCATGAGTCTTTTCATTTTCAGTTGTTTATGCCTTAAATACTTGAGTTCCCTCATTGGCTAGTAAATGTCTCTTTTAAGACATTCCGAGTTTATTGTTTGAATTTACCTTCTCAGACTATTTCATGTTAGTTAGTCTTCTACTGAGTAATAAGTCAGGCTAAAGGTTCGTTTGGGGCCAATAATAGTTCTCGAGTGTCAGTTGCGTTCAGGGTGTTGGTTCAAGGCGTGACAATTTAGGTTGACTATAAGATATCAAATGAAAGGTATTTGAATTTTCTTTCCCAGACCACCTAGTTATCTACGTTTTGAGTTCAGGTGAGGGATATATGCTCGTTTGAAGTCAGCCAGTTCAGTTAAGGAAATTTACCTTAATTCATGAGGGGTATTTTGGTATTTTCCTTACCCCTTAGATTTAAACATTTTTAGTAATATTTTAGGGATCTAAACTGATTTGGTTCATTTTTCACATTCTTGAAATACTATTAGGGTTTTAAGAGGAGTTCAAGAAGAGAAATGAGGGAAGGTTTTAGGCGTTCGTCAAGATTATTGAGATTTGTCAAGGAATTTCGCCAAGGGTTTGATCCCTAAGAGGTTTGTAAGTTGTTCATAATGATGGGTTCATTCAATCACATGTCAATCACAAGTTTCTTGAGGTAATTTAGCCCATATAATCCATGTATTTATATTCTTGATTTGTTCTTGAAATTTCATTCGTAAATCTTGATTGTTCAGATTTTGATGAGTTTTTTTTAGATGAATAAGATTTTGAGAGTTATTTATGAGTGGATTTTTGTTTACTAATGTTGGGTATTCTAATTTAGGGAAGTTTGGAAGAAATCATTCAATTCTAGGTGAATTAGGGCCTAAAATCAAAGAAGAAAACTAGTTGCAAAAATTCTGAGTAGGAGCTGGAGCTGGCGCGTCGCGCCCGCACAACACCAGGAAATATGATATGTAATTTAGGGGTTGCACACCGCTCAACTCAATACACTAGGATTGCCCGCCCTACATATTTTTTCGTTAGTTATCCCATTTGAGTTCTTTGAGAGTATATCTTTACTCTTTTCTGATTCTAACTACTCTAAAATACATCTAGACATCAAGAGATTCTTCATAACATGAATCAGATCCATTGAATTCATAATTGAAGTTTAAGGTAGAATTAAGAGTAAAGTCTTGAGAGTTCTTTTTTGTCAATTCAAGAAGTCTTTTACAATCTTTTAAAACTTGTTTGAAAGACTTAAATACTTGAGTATGAAGATGGTGAGAGTAGAGTTTCATTTTTTCAAAATGAATATATGAAAACTAAGTATTCCCAAGAGAAATGTTGTTACATTTAAATTGAGGAGGAAACCTTGAGTTTCAAATGAGTTCATGAGGAGTATTGAGTATAATCTCTTTTAAGAGAATATTTTGAGAAATAATCCCAAAGTTGAGTATGAGGAAATGTTTATAAACATATGGGTTGTATATATTTTGGGAGAAGTATTGAGCTCCGATATGGGGACGAGCTCAAACAACTCAAAGTCCTCATAAATCATGTAGTCAATATGGGTAGAAAAGGGTCATACTTTTTAGATGTTTTATTATAAATATTTTAGTATAGATTAGTGGATCCACTTAGTTGAGGATGTCTTGTACTCCGACAAGGTATAGGACAGTTTTGGCAGCATAGGCAAAACGTTGTATCATCACATAGCTCATAGTGATCATTATTGGTTAGAGAATCTCCCAAATTTAGTTATATTATATCTTTATCAACAAATTGAGTAATTATTGTATTTTTAAAGGAAAATAAATAAATGAAAACCCTGGAGTTGGTAGGATAACTTATTTAAGTACTTAAACTGCGCAGGTGTTTAACTACTCCCTTGAACATCTTTGAAGTGAATTCAAAACCACCATGATATTATTATTTATACCACTATCATTCTCCACAATATAGCCATGTAAATAAGAGAACATAGTCATGTCAGCACAACGACATAGCCATGTCAGCACCACGCCATTACTTAATTTTTTATTATATTTTCTCAAATTTTTGTTTAACACTTCTTAAAGTTAATTTACACTAAGTAATTCATTACATATGCATTTTCTAAAATTCAAATTTAGAATATGGATCCATTTTTATTCACCCATACCCAACCTCACCCACCCTCTTTTTATTTTCCCTCATACCCAGCCCCCACCCACCCCTTTCACTTATTTCTTCTTCTTTCTTCATCACCATCTCTACCACTTGACTGTTCATTCTTTTCCTCTTCATATTTTTAAATGAGCTCACCCACATCTCATGTTTCTATTTATAAATTCATCTTATTCGGTGAACCAACAAGTTTATTTAGCTTTGACAAAAATCAAAAAAAAATTATAGGTGTGAAATCTACATCATAAAAAAATGCAACACAAGGAATTCAGGTAATGTGGATTTTGACGCCTATATTCCTATCTATGGAGCCAGTTTGTGACCACGTCCAAAACGGTCCATTTTCAAGGTCAAACGAGACCCAAAGCAGGTAAAGCCCAATTTTTCTCGATTTTCAGATGCTATAGTCCACCATCTGTTTTGGTGATCAAGAATTCCGATTTAATTTTTGCCAAAAATTTACATGGACGTCCATTAAGACTTAATATATTGAGCCGGTTGATAACCACGGCTAAAATGACCTATTCAAGGTCAAATGATCCCTAGAGCAGGTAAACTCCCTATTTTCATGTTCTATAGTCCACCATCTTTTTAGGTGATCTGGATTCTAAGATAATTTTTCTAAAAAATTACACAGCTATCCATTTAGACCTTATGTATGGATCCGATTAGTCACCACAGCCAAAACAACTCATTTTCAAGGTTAAACACGCCCTAGAGCACATAAACTCCACATTTTTTCGATTTCGGTGTGCTATAGTCCACGATCTTTGTTGGAGATACAGAATTCCAATATAATTTTTGCCAAAAAATTATACGTACATCCATTAAGACCTTATATATTGATTCGGTTG